CCATCGCACTCCATAGCTATCAATAGACCTCCATAGCACTCCATAGGCCTCCATAAGCCTCCATAGCCCTCCATAACACTCCATAGCCATCCACAGACCTCCATAGCACTCCATAACACTCCATAGCTATCCGTAGACCTTCATAGCACTCCATAGCACTCCATAGCCCTCCATAGGCCTCCATAGACCTCCATAGCACTCCATAGCACTCCATAGCCATCCATAGACCTCCATAGCACTCCATAGCCCTCCATAGGCCTCCATAGACCTCCATAGCACTCCATAGCACTCCATAGCCATCCATAAACCTCCATAGCACTTCATAACACTCCATAGGCCTCCATAACACTCCATAGCCATCCACAGACCTCCATAGCACTCCATTACACTCCATAGGCCTCCATAGGCCTCCATAGACCTCCATAGACCTCCATAGCACTCCATAGCCATCCATAGACCTCCATAGCACTCCATAACACTCCATAGCCATCCATAGACCTCCATAGCACTCCATAACACTCCATAGCCATCCATAGCCCTCCATAGGCCTCCATAACACTCCATAGCCATCCACAGACCTCCATAGCACTCCATAACACTCCATAGACCTCCATAGCACTCCATAGCACTCCATAGCCATCCATAAACCTCCATAGCACTCCATAACACTCCAATCACTCCATAGCCATCCATAGACCTCCATAGCCCTCCATAGGCCTCCATAGCACTCCATAGCCATCCATAGGCCTCCATAGCACTCCATAACACTCTATAGCCATCCATAGCCCTCCATAGGCCTCCATAACACTCCATAGCACTCCATACGCCTCCATAGCACTCCATAGCACTCCATAGCCATCCAAAGGCCTCCATAGCCCTCCATAATACTCCATAGCCATCCACAGACCTCCATAGCACTCCATAGCACTCCATAGCCCTCCATAGGCCTCCATAGACCTCCATAGCACTCCATAGCACTCCATAGCCATCCATAGACCTCCATAGCACTCCATAGCCCTCCATAGACCTCCATAGCACTCCAATCACTCCATAGCCATCCATAGACCTCCATAGCCCTCCATAGCCCTCCATAGGCCTCCATAGCACTCCATAACACTCCATAGCCATCCATAGCCCTCCATAGGCCTCCATAACACTCCATACGCCTCCATAGCACTCCATAGCCATCCATAGGCCTCCATAGCCCTCCATAACACTCCATAGCCATCCACAGACCTCCATAGCACTCCATAGCCATCCATAGGCCTCCATAGCCCTCCATAACACTCCATAGCGATCCACAGACCTCCATAGCACTCCATAACACTCCATAGGCCTCCATAACACTCCATAGCCATCCACAGACCTCCATAGCACTCCATAACACTCCATAGACCTCCATAGCACTCCATAGCCATCCACAGACCTCCATAGCACTCCATAGCCATCCACAGACCTCCATAGCACTCCATAACACTCCATAGACCTCCATAACACTCCATAGCCATCCATAGACCTCCATAGCACTCCATAGGCCTCCATAGGCCTCCATAGACCTCCATAGACCACCATAGCACTCCATAGCCATCCATAGACCTCCATAGCACTCCATAACACTCCATAGACCTCCATAGCACTCCATAACACTCCATAGCCATCTATAGCCCTCCATAGGCCTCTATAACACTCCATAGCCATCCACAGACCTCCATAGCACTCCATAACACTCCATAGCCATCCATAGACCTCCATAGGCCTCCATAGACCTCCATAGCACTCCATAGCCATCCACAGACCTCCATAGCACTCCATAATCCTCCATAGGCCTCCATAGACCTCCATAGCACTCCATAGCACTCCATAGCCCTCCATAGCCCTCCATAGCACTCCGTAGGCCTCCATAGGCCTCCATAGCACTCCATAGGGCTCCATAGGACTCCGTAGGCTTCCATAGGCCTCCATAGCACTCCATAGCACCCATAACACTCCATAGGCCTCCATAGCACTCCATAGCACTCCATAGCCCTCCATACGCCTCCATAGCACTCCATAGGCTTCCATAGACCTCCAGTCCTCCATAGCACTCCATAGGCCTCCATAGCCCTTCATAGCCCTCCATAATCCTCTATATACCTGTACACGCACGTGGTACATTTCATTTTGTTTGCCTTATTCAAGCGTGGTTCAAAATTGTTTTCTTTATAAAAAAGCATCGTTTTGTTGCATTATTCCTTTATAATGATGGTACGTATGTATTTTCAGTCAGGTGTATAAATGTATCTTAAATCTAAATGCATATTCTTGAAAGAATATATTTGAAAACTACTGTTTTTATTTTTGATTTAGGTTCTTCAGTGGAAAGCGTGGGCATTTTTGTTTTTTCATTCAACCTCTGTTGTCTTTTCCGTTCAGTTGGGAGAAAATGAGCAAAAAACGTTGAACAGCCTAGTGCGTGAATTTGATTCCCAGCCTAGTCACCCGCGATATGATTCTGTTGTTCAAGTCTCGATGGCAACCAATTTTCTTAAGGTATTTATATGGTGTCCTACAAAACATTTCGACATAGAAATCCTGTGTCCTTTGCACAAAGTTGGAATTGATTTTCATTGTTGGACATCAAATGGAAAGGAAGGCAGCTTTCATCAAGCTTGTTTAATACACGATCTTCACGGAAATATTATATTAGTCCAATCCATTTACAGATGTCCGTACAATCGCCATGAATACCACTCTGCATCGACTGAAATTTTAGAAATTCTTCCACCTGAGATTACAAGACAATTCCCATTCAAACTGTTCTACCGTTCAGGATGCTCACAAAACCTTCTCGACTACATAATTGTTCACATAGGAAGAGGGCATAACTTCTTGGAATTGGCTGAATTAATTGCTAATATGAACTTTCGAGGATTTTATCGTCATAGCAGTTTACCCGTTGATGAAAATGAGTACTACGAAAGTACTTTTTACAGCAGCCCTAGGAGTGACCAACTAATGTACATATTTCTTGCATATTTTGACGGTGTAAAAAGTACATTCGAAAACGACATTGCACTGACACCTTGCTCCATCTTAAGTTGTGATCACACGTTTAAAGTCAGCAAACACATTGGGGTTGTACGCACAACTGATAATAAATTTGTGAAACAGTTCCAAAATTTATTTATTGGTCTAAACGAGAATGGACAAGTTGTACTCTGGCGTTTGACTAAGACTACAGCATTCGAACAAATTGAAGACCTTTTAGTTGAGTTCAAACGTAAACTTGATGCGGCTTCATCGGCACTAACGATGATTATTGTTGACGACTGCTGCTCAGTTAGTTCGTCTTATTATCGAATCTTTCCTGGTGTGCCTGTTAAACTTGACATTTTCCACGCATGTCAAAGATTTGCAAAAACGATACCAAAAGCATGTTCATTTAGAAAGAAGCTTGCGAGCGACTTTGGATTAATTTTTCGGCAAAATGGCGATACGGGAGATGAAAGGACAATGAACACGCCAAACGTAGAAGAAATAGAGAGCAACTTAGAGATGTTTCTGCAAAAATGGAGAAGTCAACTGTCTCAATTAACTGTTGATTCTATAGTTAAATTGCGAGTGCATATCAAGAACGGGTGTTGTTCGGACATTCCACCTGGAACTGGAACACAAAAGAATGAGCGACTACACAAAGAGCTAAAAAGATCGTTACTGGGAGGCGCCTCAGTAATATCTCCAGAATTGGCAATTGCCGTTTTATCGTGTGTATTATATATATGGAGTTACAAACGCGATCCGAACGCCCGAAAACATGTATCGAATGCTAGGGTCACACCTGTAGTACCAGTTGAACTAAAACAACAGCATTTACTCGCAAGGTATAATTTCCAAAAAGTCGACGTTGCATCCAAGTTTAAAAGTTCAAAAATGCCTACCACAGTTCCACTCGTCATGGGGAAGTGTAAGGAATTCGATCATCTTCAAAGTTCTGAAATGACATTCAGTTCGAACAACCTCGATTCCGATGTGCTAACTGCTGACGTTGATGATATTGTCGATTTAAAAAACGAAAATATTATAAATTATGTTCTTCCAAGAGCACTTCACTTAAACGACGTTTTTACGTCAATTGAGAGTAAGTGCACAAATCGAGATTTTGATATCCTTGACTTCCCTTTCACAGACATGGAACGGCTAGTCAAAGTGTTACGTTCTGTATCAACCACAGAAGATGTCTCATTAGGAGTTGATATGAATAACGACTGTCTGGAAAAAAATCTCTCTACGTTTAACTTGCAGTGTGATCCTGTTGTAGGTGATGGAAACTGTTGTTTCGCCAGCATAGCGACGGTACTAAATCAACTTGTAGTGCAACAAGGAAATGACGCCAATAAACTAGTTCAGCATTTACACTCCCTCGGTCTTTCTAAAGGCATTGCATCGGACACAACTCGTCTCCGACAACTTTTTTGTCAGGAAATTCAAGAAAAGAAGGAGAAATACGAGGCGTGGATCGAGGATGACATTGAAAAGGAAATCGAACACTTCTCGAAGGAAGGATGGTTTAATAGCTCTCTAGGAGATCTTTGCGTGATTGCGTGTAGCAACATTCTCAAAACAACGATCGTTGTTGTAACGTCGATGACAGGCGTTCCATACATACCCTTCGTTCCAGATGAAATATTAACAGATGGTGTTCTATATATCGCTTTTAATCACTCATATCTTGGTCATTACGATGCTACTAAAGGTAAAACACATCCAACTTTTTAAAGATCTAGATATAAATATTAATTATTCAATTTAATCGGACCATAGACAATCCAGAAGACATTCCTTCTTCTGGATTGTCTATGATAACTAGGCTACTTCTAGCTCTTTCTCAACCCAACATTCCCAATGACAAAATATATCTGTTTTGTCCCCGCAAACTAGGAATATATATGTGTAGGTGAATAGTATGAATATTGCTGGATTATTTTTGAAAAATAATTTGTTATGCCATATTCTATATAGATATGATAAACGAATTCGACAGTAACGAAGAAAATAGTTTAACATGCAACTGTGGAGTCATGGCTAAATCAAAACAGAAGGATGTGTCAAAATCGTGTGATCCTCAAGCGAATATGCCGTCATGTTCGTGCGTAAAAAATGGAAAGAAGTGTTCGCGGAAATGTCGTTGTATCATGTGTATAAATTCTCAAGATCTTAAAAAGACAGTTGCCGATGGTAAGATGAAGGGTTGTACCTGTGGTAGAGGGAAGAAAGGAGTTTTTTGCCAAGATAGATCAACCCGTAAATCTAAATGCCCATGTTTAAAAAGGAACATATATTGTTCATATCGATGTGAGTGTTCGTCGTGTGGAAATAGATGTGAGGATGGGATGAATTTAGATGATTCAGAATCTGGGATTAATCCACTTAGCGTGAAACGAAAAAGGTCCCATCCGGAAACATACAAACGCGTAAAAGGAGTTGAATACCTAGCTAACAACGGATTTGAAATTTTCGAGGGTCCTTGGACCAAGTTGGAAAGCTTCATCTTATTGATCGTTTTGGAAGTGATAAAATGTGCAGGCTTGTCACTGGTTCCTAATAACATCATTGAATTGTATAATTTCTTCGCGTTGAGTAAAGTGGTAAAAGAAATGAATCTGCCTATCTCATATAAGTCAACTAAAAGAATACTTGGAAAACTTAAATATATTAATTCCAAGCACAGCGTTTTTAAAACATTTATGGACGAGAAAATTGATCACTTTTAATGAGCAACTTAATAGACGCTAAATGCATCCGAACTAATAAAGCTCGTATATCGGCGATGTGCTACGATCCATTGTCGATGACCATTGACCAATGAAGTAGAAATGTTTCTATAGACAACAGTGGCGGATCTAGGCGTAGTCAGAATAAATTACTACAGTTTAAAATCCCAATCGCATTGGTAGATTTTTATTTTAAAATATTGTTCAGAAATCGATATATAGCCAATATCGTTGTTATTAATGTGTTTTGAATTTAAAATTTAGCTGTGTAATTTATTATGACTACCTCTATAGATCCGGTTTTTGCCCGTGGGAATTAACTTATAAAATGCTAAATACAAAACTTTTAATTTCCTAGAGAAGGGGGAAATGTCATGGTCCTTGAGTTGTAATTTAAATATTGTTATCCACATTTCTAAATAAAACCATTTGTGGGTACAAACAAATTTATTGTCATCATGTATAATGCTTATGTCAAACATCTATAGACTCGTGGGCCCCAACAGGATGCTTATAAGTATAGGCGCCTGTTCAAACTTTACCTACTATTTTGTTATGGGTGATTTCACTAGATTTGGGTCTGTGTCCCCTCAAAAAAGTGACACCATAAAAATTATCTCACCCCTAAACCTTTCTCATTCCCGTCCGGTCTGATTAATTTAGGACTTAAAAGTCCTACTGATTTTGTAGCTCACGAAGTGAATATTTTGAATATTGTGTAAGCGTTACTTTTTAAGTTTTCCACCCTGTATATATTAAATATCATGTGACTGATACCAAAGTACGAGCATGCGCATAAGCCGAATTTTCTAGTTTTGAGTTTTGACGCATAGACAGTTTACGAATTTACGATGGCAAAAAAAACGCAAGAAACGGTTGAAGACTGCAGTCTGAATGAAATATTTGAAGACGTTGAAGAGGAATTGGATGAGTTCAGGAACCCCGTCGGGACTGTCACAAGAGTCTAGCTCGACGGTTAAAAGTTCGTTGCGAAAGACGCTAGTCGAAAAAGATGGTGAAATCGGGTACACAAAAAGCAGTAATACTTTTGTTGCGATGACTAACTTTGCTATTAAGTGTACAGGCTACGTTACCACAGACATCGACTCAACAAACGCGGAAGGATACCTCTTGGATGTTTATCCAAAAAACTCTGTTCCTTCGTCCGAAAGCGAACAAAGTGATGCTACAAGCACGGCGGACGCAAGGTAAAGACCGTATGTAATAAATTATTTTATCCCTTTGAAATTGTCTTTTATGAATAGATATTTCGTTGTTTACCTTGTAGTTTGGTTTTTCTTTGACAAGTGGTATATAATAAAAAACTTATTTACTGCAAACTCAGAAAACATTATGTTTTGTGGACCCTCAACCATCGATATTTACAAATATCGACAGGTCTCGGGTCCACAAAACATAATGTTTCCTTCGTTCGCAGTAAATAAGTGTTAAGTATAGATCAAGGTTGTTCGATGGCCGTTTACTTAAAAAATTAACTAGTTTAAAATTAACTACACAAGTGAACTGGCAGTTTTTGTATTGTCGGTATTCCGTTTCGTTATATGACCGAATCGAACTACGAAACGAATTTCCAATTTTAAGATCTTTCTATTAAAAACTATGGCTATGTGCACACGTGCGTCGTTTTCAACATAGCAGCCCAATGGCGAATGGTTTTTTAATTCTTATTTTTTATATGGCGAATAATTTTTTATTTCACATTATGTCATTTACATTCTAATGTACTTGTCTATAATTTACATATGCGTGTCTGAATCACTTGTCTGAATATGTTCAGGCAATGTAAGTATTATATTATAAATATATCCTAAGGTAGGCAACTTCAATCACAATATCGACATGTACACATTCAAACACTTCCGAAAATACTTCAATTTATCCCTAAATCTAAGCGAAAATAAGAACAGAAATTAAGTCTACGATATTTTTACTATATACCGGTCAATGCGGGCACATACGGCTCTCGCTACGGCTACGAGATTCGTCAGTACTGTGTAAATATAATTTATATTTTATATTTAGTTGCCAACTATCTTATTATTATACAAATATAGCAATTGTTGTTTACGTCACAGACCGCGATATTAAACTGGATGGACGCTTTAGATTAAAACACAAATACCTCTGGGCTACCTAGGGATAAACCTCTGCAAACACAATAATAAATGCATGTTTATCCTGTCAAATATTTCGGAAATTTTATGCCTACTATTTCGAAAAATACACATAATCAAAGGCCACGGTCACTAAAAACAGTTCTCTCAAATTATTTTCTGGAAAAAAACGAGAAAATGTCAAGTTTTATTGCTTTTTAAATCACGTAGTGAGGACTACCAGGTTTTCTTAAAATGCCGTAGTCAGATGAACGACGGCTACGAGTCCATGGCGTCAGTACGAAGTATCACGAATATCACGTCAATATGACGAATCTCGTAGCCGTAGCGGGAGCCGTAGTCAACCCATGGATAGTTAAAAGACTTAGTTAAAAGATAGTTAAGAGTGATTTTATTATCCATGGTCAACCGTAGTCAAATCTAAATAAAGCTCTCCAGGGCATTTCTACGCCATTCCGCGCCATCAGCGAGTCTCTCCTTTTTTGACGAGTAAAAAATGTTTTTTTAGTTTTCCTTTTTTTTCGAGGGCCTGCCTTGCCACGAAATGTTAAAATCGCAAATTCGTAGCAAAGTTCAAAGGTTCATAAAAATGTAAACTAAGCATTTGGTTGTCTTTTTTACTCCAACGAACTTTTTTTTTTTAACTTCGCAAAGTAGCTACTTCGCTGTAGAGTAATCTAAGGGCCCACACGATTTCTCAACGTTTATTATTTTCAAAAAGCAAATAAATTTTAACCATAATATTGATCATATTCTTGGCGATTACTTAACGATAATACCTTTTTTCTGCTCTGGGGTCCAAATATTCCAAAATTTCCTTCCAGAACTTCACGTTCGGTCTGTGTCGGCCTTAAAAAGCTAGTGAGCGACTCTAGTTTTTTAAGGCTAAAATTAACTCTTGATGGACGTAATATTATTGTCACTTTCCTGATTCACATTTACACTTAATGCAAATTATCTGTAATATTGCTGTTTAGTCACCTGACTGAAATATAGGCACTTTTTGCTGATATTCTCACCCTACCTTTATAATTTTTACCACAGTGAATCATATTACTTGACTTGGAAAGACATGTCTTCACAAACAGGAATCCTGAACGTTATGTCATCCAAAAAGTTATGGACAGCTCCAAGCAAAGAGCAATATTTACCAACGTACTTAAAATCACTTTGTGATGACTATTCAGCGTCGCCTGATGCACATAGAATGCTTCCAGTGAAGGTAGGAAACAATTAATGGGAAAGAAAACATATGAAGAGCAAGTTAACGCATGCACGTGCTCCTCGCGTATGAACTTCGTTAATCTCCATCACAAATACACTTCACATGCATTTACTGCGCGTGTACCTGCGCAAAAGAAATTTGTTCTTAAAATTGCAAACTGCCAGTTCTTTAGCTACTCTTTAACGAAAAAAATGACTCAATTGACTGTTGGGCCATAATTTCGGTTCACATCCATCACTTTCGCAAACACGTACGGTTTCGTTGAAAACGATTGGTGCAGCTTGTTGTTTCCCTGCTAAACATTTGTATATTCTTTGAATTCAAATACAATAAAATTTCCCCTTAACTATTTAAGGGATTAGGTTTCCAGAAAGCTTCAGGAACTCCTACTTGGATCTTTGCCTCCAACTTCCAAGTGGAGCTGAAAGAGGGAAGAGCAAGAAGAATTCCTTCTTCTGATTCTCCTTTCTGTGTGATTGCCAGTGACGAGACATTGCTGCCTGTTAGCGAAATCGAAGGTATATATTACGTGTGTATTAACTATTAATCGATATTGAATGCACGATTTTCAAGTGTTATTTACGTTCACAATGACCTGCGTTTCGATGAAAATTTCGTCAGGCATTAGTTACCGACACAGGAATAAAAATGGGCACAAGCGGCAGACTTTCTCCAAAAAGAATCTTCTCGGGTCTATACCGGTCCATCTCCAATAGAGGGGCATGTCACCGCCTAATGTAAATGTATACAATCAACTGAAACGTTAATGATCACAAACCAAAGTACGTCTTGTTAGGGTCAGGAAAATTATTCAGTATTTTATCGTTAAGGCAAGTTTTCTATTGCAGCTCCCTGGTCTTTTTATTGCGTGTACACTTTTTGTTGTGATCTTGGTGATTGTGTTAACACCTTTAAATTCAGTTTTTCTGTTTAGGTAATCTTGATGCAGGGGAATGTTTAAAAGAGTTGATAAGTACAGAACGTGAGCTGATGGGTGCAAATTTTCTACCATCATTGCTGGTTTTGGGTGGTCTCGGAATAGCGGTCCATTTCGAGCAACTCTCCGAAGAGTTTAACGGGGTACCGTTTATCATGGCTTATGGCGCCCCAGTCTCCGGAAAGTCTTCAGCAGTCGAAGCTGCAATGGCTATCATTGGTCAAATAGAGAAAGTTGGAGGTATAATATTAATTAACATGACCACTATTTTTCATTATGCATCTAAACTTGATTTCTTTGATGAACACAATTGATGGACGTATATACCAATTAAGTTCAACATAACGTTAGCAAGGAGAGCATGTCCTGATGTTAGCTAATAATTTTTTGCTCGCCAATTTTATTTTTCTGAAATATGTCTTCAAAAAAATGTTTCACATCGCTTTCTGTAATTTAGAATGTACACTTGCTGGAGCATTAAGGAAAGTTGGCAATCAAAGTCTTCCCTTTTGGTGGGACGATGTCAACGATTTTTCTGTGCTGGAACAATTCGTTGTTGCGGGTTTTAATAAGGTAAGTAGCTATTATCTGGATGGATTATCCCAATTTCCATAAGCCAGCTATAGGATTTTCACTCGTGAACTATCATCCCCGTTTTTAGGCCAATAAAGTATCTGCTAAAACTAAAGCTGGTTCCAACAGTGCACTGACTGTGCCAATCATGACAATGAATCCGACTACGCTTACAAAGTATATAAGAAATAACAAGGAAAAGATGTTGAGGTACAGTACATATTGTAAAGACAGATCGAGCCTTTGTGATACTGGGACTGAAAGTTTGTCTCAAGAATTTTCAAAATGTATGCTTAGTAACTCCACTTTGCCGTTATAATGCCGTGATTCACTGGCTCATCAGTTGTTTGACAGCTTACAAGAAAAAAGGAATTATATTTATAAATAATATTTTAAAAGCTATAATTTTCCATATCTTTATAATTATAGAACGTTTTCGAGAACAGCTGTGATTCCATTCAGTGAACTGAAAAGAGGAAGGCAGTCATTGGCAATTTCATTAGGGTTTAAAAACCGCATGAAAAACATCTTGAAAAACCTTATAAAGAGCATTGGAATCCTGGTAGAACTACATGATGACTTCAAAACTATTCACCAAGACGATTCACTATTCAACGAGGTTATTGACACGATTGGCGAAACTGAGATCGACATCGACATGCGGGCGCAATGCAATTACGCTCTTCTTCTGTACACGACGATTAAGGTATATAAAACAAATTTATGTCTGTCGCGCGTCAAATTGTCGTAGATTAGGTAATAGTAATTTCACAACGTCACTAATAATGCGGAAAATGGTTTACCCACAATGCAGGCTGTCCTATGCATACGCTTCAATATAGTATTGAGATTCAATAGAAAATACTTAATGAATATAATCAATGCTCAGTGCTTTTGTTAACCTTACAGCAAACTTTATTTCACTTTTACTTTATCATTGATTTAGATACTAGAAAAAATCGGACTTAAAGATTCATATATGGCCGAATTAACCGAACACATGTACAGCGTTGTACTGCCGTTCTATTTCGACCTGGTTGGAGGCCATGGAAGTAGGACGGAAGAATGTCGTGATAAAGATCGAAAGAGTGAAGTTAACCCAATGAGCAAATTAATTATCGACCTTGTGCAAAAAGTAATAGCAGATCCAGAAAAGGTAAAATTTTACCGAAAACTATCAAAAATAACAATGCCTTTTCAAGATGTAAAAAAATATAGTTCCATTAAAATAAGAAAAAAAAACTGTCGCCATCCTGCACCTAATCTACCCATATCTACCTATTTCAGGGAAAGGGATTTTTCAACCCTTCCATCAACGCAAGAAAATGCGATTGCGGGAAAGTTTTCGGATTTAACGTCGGAAAAGCGCTCGCTTTCGCTGGGCAACAAGGCAAAGAAGACGCTTTTCGCATTTATGTTAGAAAGGCGTCCATCGGGTGCAATGGCGTAAAGCTGATAATCGGACAAAAACAATAGGTTGGCACCCATATAACATTAAAGTTTTTACCACGGGAATTACGTGCTTCACTTTACAAAGGTATAAACACAATCCCCATTTCCTCAGTTAAAGCTGCATACGACAACATAAGTACGACAATATTAGTAAGAAAATAATCAAGTTTAAAGTGAAGAGCGCTATTCATTTTTGTTGGGGTTTTTTTCCGCAGCTTTTAAGATATGTGATCAAGTCGAGCCCACAGATGAATTCGGTTTTACCGCAGGTGATTACGTTTATGCCCTGTTGAAACATACTTTATTCATCCATTAACGTCTCAATGCAAAAATATAAACGGACACACCATTCCAGACAGCCACAAAACTTAATTCCGCTTTTCTGTAGAATTAAATTTCAGTATATAGATGTGCGGGTATATAAGATATCTCGTTCAATGCCTGTAAAATTAAATCAGATATATATATATATATATCCTTGTCCTTTTCCAGGTGCCGAGGAAGCCTCAGAAGAAATTCCTTCTGATTATGTCATTTCAAACAGTTCGGCAGAAATTGAACCTAGAATGGACATAGGAGTCGCCATTTCAAGTGAGCTGATATTTCAGTCTATTTACCAACCCACGCATTACCGCAAAAATGCAAAAACCTATAAACGGACACACCATTTAAGTCGATACCAACAGAACTTAATTCCCCTTTTTCAGTATATAGATGTGCGGGTATATAAGATATCTCGTTCGATGCCTGTAGAATTAAATCAGAATAATCTTGACAAGTAAGAAGACTGAAGCATTATATATATATTTTATATATATATTTATATATATATATATATATATATATTGTTGAACATGATTTGCTCCAAAATAAATTTGGAGTTGCAACACAGGTAATAATATAGGCAAAAATGTTCTCCGTGTTTACTATACTCACCCTTGACGGGCATATTCAAACCTAAGAATGTAAATTTGTCCCTTTCCCTCACCAGCTCACTCGTTAAGAGTGCCTAGGTTTGAATATGCCCGTCAAGGGTGAGTATAGTAAACACGGAGAACACTTTTGCCTATATATATATATATATGTATATATATATGTATATATATATATTTATATATATATATATATGTATATATATATGTATATATATATATTTATATATATATTTATATATATATATCTTGTCCTTTTCCAGGTGCCGAGGAAGCCTCAGAAGGAATTCCTTCTGATTATGTCATTTCAAACAGTTCGGGAGAAATTGAACCTAGAATGGACATAGGAGTCGCCATTTCAAGTGAGCTGATATTTCAGGCTATTTACCAACCCACGCATTATCGCAAAAATGCAAAAACCTATAAACGGACACACTATTTAAGTCGATACCAACAGAACTTAATTCCCCTTTTTCAGTAATTACTATATAGATGTGCGGGTATATAAGATATCTCGTTCGATGCCTGTAGAATTAAATCAGAATAATCTTGACAAGTAAGAAGACTGAAGCATTATATATATATATATATTAATATATATATATATATATATATCTTGTCCTTTTCCAGGTGCCGAGGAAGCCTCAGAAGGAATTCCTTCTGAATATGTGATTTCAAACAATTCGGAAGAAATTCAACCTAGAATGGACATAGGAGTCGCCATTTCAGGTGAGCTGATATTTCAGGCTAACCTAGTGGAATTTATTGTTTACCAAATCTCGTCCACTACAGTCTGTTTCATCTTTTTTTCGTTCTCAATACACACCATATATCTTTATTTAGACAAAAAGGGACGATCGTCGTCCAGAAAAAATCCATTAAGAGATGCGCTTGGAGCGTACTTCACGCCCAAAAACACAAAGAGAAAGAAGCATTAAAATACTTCTACAACTTTGCCTTTGTGTATCTGTTATACCTATTACTATAGCCAAGTTGCGTTAGAAAAGAATGAGTGATAATATATAATTTATATAAGAATCTGTATGTAACATGAAAGTAATATTTCCACATGTGGAATCTTTTTTGGAAGTTTACTTCGTTAAAGAAATCTTTCATACATCCCATGTAGCCACTACCCAATAATGGACATATTTGAAAGTTTGTGCAGGTTTTTCATTATTGGGTGCATGTCCAAGTCCGAGGTTGAATATCCGATTATAATATCCTTCTGATATGCACTGCCACTAGAATCTAAATTTCAGTCTAAAATAGTTTATTATCCTATTTTTGGTGAAACATGTTATCTCTATTCCTTTTATGTTTAGCGGGCTCATTCTACATTCATATCTCATATTACCATTTTGCCGCGAAAAGACAATACAAAATCACTGGCAAGATGGACACGGACTTAGCCACCTTGCGGCCTTGCTCTATATATTTTTTTGAATATTAAGCAATTTAAAAAGTGGCAGGCAAACGTCTGACATGAAAAAATTAAATAAAGTGTTAAGGCTGTACGTCTTCCACTAACGCGTTTTTTATACGCACGCAAAAACTAAGTGAATAAATCGAAGGAACTTAGTTTTCTGCATATTTTAGTATGCATTAGTTGACCTAGATGTTAAAAAATAAAAATTTCAAAGCATTTAAATTTTTTTGTATGTGTACGTGCGTATAAAAAAAGCTTAAGTGGGAAGCAGCCTTTATGGAGGCCTTAGGAGAACTATGGAGGCTTATAGAGGCCTATGGAGTGCTATGGAGCTCTATGGATGGCTATGGAGTGCTATGGAGTGCTATGGAGGCCTATGGAGGCTTATGGAGGCCTATGGAGTGCTATGGAGGTCTATGGATGGCTATGGAGTGCTATGGAGGCCTATGGAGGCCTATGGAGGCCTATGGAGTGCTATGGAGGCCTATGGAGGCTTATAGAGGCCTATGGAGTGCTATGGAGGTCTATGGATGGCTATGGAGTGCTATGGAGTGCTATGGAGGCCTATGGAGGGCTAATGAGGCCTTTGGAGTGTTATGGAGTGCTATGGAGTGTTATGGAGTGCTATGGAGGCCTATGGAGGCCTATGGAGGCTTATAGAGGCCTATGGAGTGCTATGGAGCTCTATGGATGGCTATGGAGTGCTATGGAGTGCTATGGAGGCCTATGGAGGCTTATGGAGGCCTATGGAGTGCTATGGAGGTCTTTGGATGGCTATGGAGTGCTATGGAGTACTATGGAGGGCTATGGAGTGCTATGGAGGCCTATGGAGGCCTATGGAGGGCTATGGATGGCTATGGAGTGTTATGGAGTGCTATGGAGGTCTGTGGATGGCTATGGAGTGCTATGGAGGTCTATGGAGGCCTATGGAGGGCTATGGAGGTCTATGGATGGCTATGGAGTGTTATGGAGGTCTATGGAGGTTTATGGATGGCTATGGAGTGCTATGGAGTGCTATGGAGGTCTATGGAGGCCTATGGAGGGCTATGGAGTGCTATGGAGTGCTATGAAGGTCTATGGATGGCTATGGAGTGTTATGGAGTGCTATGGAGGTCTGTGGATGGCTATGGAGTGTTATGGAGGCCTATGGAGTGCTATGGAGGTCTATTGATAGCTATGGAGTGCGATGGAGGCCTATGGAGTGCTATGGAGGCGTATGGAGTGCTATGGAGGCCTATGGAGGGCTATGGATGGCTATGGAGTGCTATGGAGGTCTGTGGATGGCTATGCAGTGCTATGGAGGTCTATGGAGGCCTATGGAGGGCTATGGAGGTCTATGGATGGCTATGGAGTGTTATGGAGGTCTATGGAGTGTTATGGAGTGCTATGGAGGTCTGTGGATGGCTATGGAGTGCTATGGAGGTCTGTGGATAGCTATGGAGTGTTATGGAGTGCTATGGAGGCCTATGGAGGATTATGGAGTGCTATGGAGGTCTGTGGATGGTTATGGAGTGCTATGGAGGTCTATGGAGGCCTATGGAGGGCTATGGAGGTTTATAGATGGCTATGGAGTGCTATGGAGGTTTATGGAGGCCTATGGAGTGCTATGGAGGTCTATGGATGGCTATGGAGTGTTATGGAGTGCTATGGAGGCCTATGGATGGCTATGGAGTGCTATGGAGGCCTATGGAGGCCTATGGAGGGCTATGGAGGTCTATGGATGGCTATGGAGTGTTATGGAGTGCTATGGAGGTTTATGGATGGCTATGGAGTGCTATGGAGTGCTATGGAGGTCTATGGAGGCCTATGGAGGGCTATGGAGTGCTATGAAGGTCTACGGATGGCTATGGAGTGTTATGGAGTGCTATGGAGGTCTGTGGATGGCTATGGAGTGTTATGGAGGGCTATGGAGGCTTATGGAGGCCTATGGAGTGCTATGGAGGTCTATTGATAGCTATGGAGTGCGATGGAGGCCTATGGAGTGCTATGGAGGCGTATGGAGTGCTATGGAGGCCTATGGAGGCCTATGGAGGGCTATGGATGGCTATGGAGTGTTATGGAGTGCTATGGAGGTCTGTGGATGGCTATGGAGTGCTATGGAGGTCTATGGAGGCCTATGGAGGGCTATGGAGGTCTATGGATGGCTATGGAGTGTTATGGAGGTCTATGGAGTGTTATGGAGTGCTATGGAGGTCTGTGGATGGCTATGGAGTGCTATGGAGGTCTGTGGATGGCTATGGAGTGTTATGAAGGCCTATGGAGTGTTATGGAGTGCTATGGAGGCCTATGGAGTGTTATGGAGTGCTATGGAGGCCTATCGAGGATTATGGAGTGCTATGGAGGATTATGGAGTGCTATGGAGGTCTGTGGATGGCTATGGAGTGCTATGGAGGTCTATGGAGGCCTATGGAGGGCTATGGAGGTTTATGGATGGCTATGGAGTGCTATGGAGGTCTATGGAGGGCTATGGAGGGCTATGGAGTGCTATGGATGGCTATGGAGTGTTATGGAGTGCTATGGAGGCCTATGGATGGCTATGGAGGCCTATGGAGGCCTATGGAGGGCTATGGAGGTCTATGGATGGCTATGGAGTGTTATGGAGTGCTATGGAGGTTTATGGATGGCTATGGAGTGCTATGGAGGTCTATGGAGGCCTATGGAGG